GGACTTCTATATCACCTGACTTGACCTCCCAGTGAAAGACGTCTTAAAAGATCCTATAAGATCTGATGATTTCTTATGCAATCTTGCAACACGATGTTTTGACAAGATCTTATCTCAAGGTTACGTATAATCTTGGGGAACCTTGTAACTTCTTGTTGCAAGATTTTACAAGATCAGCTTATAAGAAATGTTAAGATCTTGTCAGTTCGTGCACAATCCTACAAGATCTTATTGTAAGATCTTGCAAGGTGTTCCCGAATCTTGTTGCAAGAAAAATGTAGCATGATCTTACATATTCATATTTCAGAATTTTTCGCCCTGGGCTATTCTCACAGTAAGAATTACAATTTCCACATAACCTGACGCGATCTAACCTTCGTCGAAGTTGAAATAGATAGAAAGATATAGATGTGTATGTACATTGTGAGAATACGAATTACAATTTCCACATAACCTGATTTGATCTAACTTAGGATGCAGTTGACATATATGTACAGTATACAAAACATACACAACGCGAGTTGCGTGTATATTAGAATTTGACATTCAAAATTTGAATTTCTCCTTTATTGTAACGTGCCATGCTATGGATATTTTAGACAGAGGTGGTGCATGCCTAAATGGTAATCTCCGTAGTAGGTAACTATTGCACTTTTCCTCATTGGGACATCGTAGCAATTATGTAAGTGAGTATATACAAGGAACTACAATACCTTTTCTGTTTCACACATAACTATCAAGACCACGTGATACAGGTATAATCGAACATCTTTGACTTCTTCTTTTATGTATAATTCAGTACATTTTTGACCATCAAACGCGTCTGATACCATTGTTAGAGTGGGCAAATATATTTCATGAAATTCCTTCGCTTTTTCCTGTCCACTCAGTATTATCTTTTGAAGTTGTTCTTTTATATAAGTAGGTTTGCAGCGTGTAGCAAATGTAATTTTGAAACAATCGATACTTGTATCGCTAAGTTTCATGTTATTCATTAGATAGAGTCTACATTTAACAAAAAAGTAATGATAATTACTAAAATAACGATAATAAATACGTAAATATTCAATTTGATCGTCTGTTAACGGTGGACTGCCATATACAGATGTCATATCATTATAGAAGATAAAATGCGGTTTTGGGAAAGATTCAGAAACGATGTCACACTGTAGTAGCACGTACATACCTAATGGGATAGG